TATTGGGGGTTAAAGTATTAGCCATTCGTGAAAAGTGTGGCAGCTATGCTCGATTATCTAGAGCTGACTCCGACCAAGCAAGTGAATAGACTCAGTGTACTGCCAAGCTTCTATCGATGCATTATATCTGACTTCAGGTCACGAGGTTATTAACAGATCAACTTCTTGTAGCTGCAAAACTTATCAAATTGGAGGGGAAAGCTAAAAAGCATTTTACACAATAGAGGCCTGAATCGTCAAGCCAAATATGCCTACGCACCATGTTGCCCAAGCACTCATTAGTATCGTCATAAACGCATCCGGCTCAACAAATTGATGAGTTATAAAACAACGTATAAACGAAATTCGGCAAACTTTTCGAGATGGCTGCAAGACGACATATCGAGGTAAGGAGAAAAAATACGACAGAACTGCTAAATATGTGTTGCGCTGTACGGCACTTTCAACACCCCGTGGAAAGTCACAATTTCTCTTTGTTCGTCGCCCATAAACCTTATACTTTTCATCTTAACTCGCTTACGGAAAATCACTTTGATCGAGAATCCAGATAACTGGACTACTTCTCGCAGTCTATTTCAGTTATAAAGCAGGTTTCTGGGGCAGAAAGTCTAGTTGCAGACGTTTTGTCCCATATAGATTCTTTGAACAGTTACCGAGGGATCGAAATTTTCAAAATTGTCCAGCTTAAAAAACATCGATCTTCAGCATGAGTCATCACCGTTAACTCAAAAATTACGTGTCAAGCAAACGGAATCAGAGATGAAAGCTTTACTTTGCGAAACATTTGCTTGTGAGGACCGTGCAATTTTGTCAAAAGATTATCGTTGCAAGGTTTTCAATATATTGCACAGACCAAGTCGTTCAATTGTCTGAGCATTCATCAAGCTCATAGCCTAGCAACTATTGTGGGCTTCTATGTGAAAAAATAAACGGATAAGAACGTTCCTATTCAAGCTGAAAAAATCTACGGTGATCAGTCATAACAAATATCCCTTGGTCTCATTCCTAATCCCTGATTCTTGCTTCGACCACGTCTTTAAAAGGATTGAACAGGCACTCTAGTTTTTCAGCGTTCGCGAACCGTTTCACACAGTGCACAGAAATGGTGCCTACCAAAGAAATTGTTGCTGAAACAATAGCTTACGCTTTTATCAAAGGATGAGTGGCACACTTTGGATGCCCTTCGGAAACTACCACAAACGGTGAGTGTATGGCCGAGCAATGTCGTTTAGATTGATTGTTGTCGTGTTCACCATTGTTGATCTTATTGTTACACGTTGAATGTAAATCCTTTGAATAATTATATGCTTGGCTTCAAATATTGTGTGGTTAGTGACCACGGTCTCACTTTCAGCTGCGACCGTATTATAATAGACCGACTCTCTACTATTTGTCTCGCAGGGAACTCATAATGCATCGGAAGTTGATGTTTGATGCACTACAGCTGAAACTCTTTACGGAACGACACTTTGGCTTCCAGGATCATTCATCTTTAGTAAATCTGGACTTAAACTCCTATAAAGCAGGCTTACAATCGCGTTGCATTTAGTCAAAAATGTTTACACTCAAACTCAGTTGATCTTCCCGTCTAACCCGCCCTTCTATTTACTTCGCACGTTTGGGTACGTTGTGATTTATTATGTCAACCTCTCAACGCTGGGTATGAATGACCATATAAAGTTCTTAATCGTGAATTCAAGCGTTGTGTCATCAATAAGAATGGAGCTGAAGACAGTATCGGCAACGATCAGCTAGAAGAAGCCTGCTTGTTTGGTAACCACTTTTCCGTCAACTGAACAGTCTCCGTGATGACGATACAATCCGTGATAGTCAACGATAATGACAAAACGTCTCTAATGTCCGATGAGCGGCCGCAAGAACGTGCTCTGGGCGAACCACAAGATTTACAAAACACTTGAATGACTGATGTGTGTTGAAGATTTTCCCAGCCTATTTAATTTTGATTTCGTCTTCATGTTCTACAGCTAATACGTTGGAATTTTGATATTTCATGCGTCGAAAAGTTCGAAAAGTTTTTATTTTAGATGTGGTTATGCATTGTTTTAATTAAAAAAACAAAAACCCACAGTATTTTGAATTCGTTCATGTTAATGTATACATTATTTTACTGAAAACCAAAAACAAACTTTCCAAGTACACGTTTTGTGTTATTGCATAGTATGTAAACACACATATACGGATTTTATTTTCATACAATTGTGTTACTTACTTAGGTCCAACTGTATCCGACATGCACTCACATTTTACTTTTTTCTTTCCAGGATGACCAGAAAAGTTGAAAACTCGAGGATAACTTTGAACAACCAGACCTCTCATTGTGTATCTTTTCTGTTATATGTCCCCGAAACTAATTGAAATAGGAAAGAATAAACGAACTCTGTTGGACGTAGAATGAAATGAGTAGAGTGTTTACCAATGTCACGCTAATTAATTTTAAAATTGTGGCTGTTTATATCTTAAGATCTTCACCAAGAGATGAGAAGGATTTAGTGTTAAATAATTTCTCATAATAAACAATTCTGTAAGCTTCCGAGACTGATACTGATCTTATAAGTTTTATTGGATACAGCTCAAGCCAATCGCATTTGGAAAAGCGTTCAAACCAGATAGCGTTCGAATACACCGTGAGGTGCACCTTTCGACAACTAGTATGCTAAAACCATATACTTCAAGATGCATCAACCATTTCTTAAATATATTGTTGGAGAGAACCAAAGTTCAAAAGACTCTGAAGACACTGGGAAACATTTTATCCACTCAACTTTGAACAGAGGAGTCTCAGAAACATCTAAAAAATGAAGAGTCGTGTGTCACATTTCTGATTGGATGATTAACTATCGTACTGCTATGTTTGGTAAGGTGTCATAAACTGCCAAAACATCAATGCCATCTGAAATACTAACAGTATCCTCGAGCTTCCACACATGAAATAAACTTTTTGACAAGCGTTCTTATCACACTTTGCTCCTTTTCCCTCGTGTTCAAGTTACGTGTAGATTTGTCCTGGAGTTATTAGAAGAGCTTAAGAAGCCGATTCAAGAGTTCATTTAGAAGGCTTGTCACATATTTTCGAATCCTTTTACTCCTGATATTTGTGGTTCTCTGACTCTGGAAGCCTTGAACGAAAAGGCTTTACGGACAAGAGCATTGTCAAGCATCATAGATCTGTTACATTTTTAGGCCACAGCTAAACTATGCATCAGGATGAACCATTTTCACATTGAATGACCTATCACTGGTTGATCGACAGCTAATCGTACGTCACCATGGTCAAAGATGACTAACTGGAATTAATCAATAACACACCATGGATGGGTACATATAGGAGTGATTCAACGTTTTATCTCCGTAATCTGTTCTTACTTACCTATACTTTTGTCTATTGAGTACGTCTGTTCTGACCTACCACTGAGGAAGCTACTTCATTGCTTATCACAAGAGGATATTCTAGGTTAGCTGTTAGCTGAAAGGTGGAAGATCACATCATTCTGTCCATTTTGAGTAGACCCTGACCATTGGAACAGACCACCCACATCGATGATCGACAGCAGACAAGGGCTTACTGTAAAAGGATCTAGGTGTCTATGGTAAGTGGTTCGTAAGCATTCGATACTGATACTGAACTTAACAGTTTTGGTAGAGACTGCTACTTGAAGGCGTTTGATTGAGCATCTTAACCAGATGGTGACACCTCCCCAAGTGGAAAGATCCTCTCCTTTTAAATAATCACTTTAGATCACATAATCCTCTGTCTACAAACAATTATTATTATTATTATTATTATTATTATTATTATTATTATTATTATTATTATTATTATTATTAGCCTTATTCAATATTATATTATTGGTAAAATATAGAATTCTCAGCACAAAGTATTTCAACAAGTTTCCGTTTCTCTCTTCTTGGTCGGTCCTCGCGATAAATACTGAGTGATCGCCAGTTAGATGTTAGCAGTCCAGTAAATGAACATCTGAATAATGTACATTCTTCTCGTTGTATATTGCCAGCAACCATATTCTCTCTTTTTGAGCTTTTTGTAACTTTGACAACGAAAGGTTGTACACTTTTCAGAAACGCATCAGAATAGGTTGTGCGATTAATAGACATAATGATATATTAAAACAAACAAAAATAGATAGCTTGTTGAAATATCTAGATGACAGGAACAGGTAGCCCAGATGCTCAAGCAGGCCGCCTTGATATACCTTCCCTCCCAACTATCACCACCATCTTCCTTGTTTGTCTTCTGGGAAAATCATAGGGTGATGGCTTTAAAGCAGTACTGTTTAACTATGTAAAACCCAAAGTATCTAATGTTCCAAGAACAATCTAATGTCATTAAAGTTACGTAAGCTGGTAATTGCCCAATATAAATAAAATATATGACAGTTTTTAATACAGATTATCTTTCTTTTTCCTGTACGATCACTAAGTTAATTCAAAATAAAACCTGCAAATAAAACAACCAAATAAGTGCTCATGTAAAAATACATCAAATATACTGTTTACATATACACAAATAAAAGGGGAAAATATATTGTCGTAAAAAAACAAACAACCTGTCAAGGTACATACATTAACTCAAATAATCATTATTAGCTTCAATAGTGATTTCCTTGAAACTAAATAAACCCTTCTCCTAGAAACTTATGGAACGTAAACAAAATGTATGAATAAGTAACAATGAAATCACTAATTTATTAAATTCAAAGATCAATAATATCTTTTTTCTTTATATATGTAAAACATTGTACAAATTAGTTGAAATCAAGATTATATATTTGTATGTAAATCGTTTTGTTTAAATTATCTCTACATTGTTTCAGTGATAAACTACCAAATATGTTCATTATACATGTTGATTCAATGTTAAACATTAATGATCAAATCATGTACCATATAATTATTTAAGAGAATAAACTTATTCTACATTATATTGGTGCATTTTAACTATTTTCAGAATTCATTCCATTTCTTTAATTAACTGGAGGCAATGGACCTTTGCTTGATCTACGATGTGTTTTATCAGTTTTATTTCGTTCAGTATTTTGTGAAGATCTATTAGGCTGATCAGAATTTTCTCCAGTAAAATGAACTGAATAACTGCTAGATTTTCGTCTAGGTGAATTATTACCATGTGTTTTTTCTTCTTCGTGGGTTTGCATATCCTCATTTTTCAACTTTTCAACTGATTCAATACTATCGGCTTTATTTTTTTCAGCCATTGCTTTTATTTCTTCTGGTCTAAGTAGAGAAGCCAAACTAAAAAAATAGAATTAAAAGAGAAATCAATGGAAAAAATTAAATTTAAAGTGAGAGGAGTGTACGTTAGCATGTATTTCATCATACATTCAGTAAACGTAGTGTATATCAAGTTCGTAAATTGTTTAAAATTGATGGAACCTATTCTTAAGACAATCAAATAGTAAATGTAATATATTGTATAGGCTAAATTACAAGGAATACGAGTTTCTGATGCAAAATGTTTGCGGTCATACATGATATGATTTAGGGCATAATCAATGATATTTTGCGAATAAAAAGTTGTCCTCCAATCCTAATCCTAAATCTTAACCAGTACACTCTAACTCTAATCTTGAATTCTAACCTTAATACTTAATACTAAGCCTCAACTGTAATCCTATAAACCCTAACACTCCTTAACAAAATTTTAGCCCAACTTCTCATTTCTAGCCTTAATCTTTACTCGTTTACTATAATAAATAACTCAACATGTAAGAGTTCATCAGTGGTGTCGAACTGCATATCCAGCTTGATTATATCGTTCATTATTATTAATTGTTTCATAAATATAAACGGCTAATAAGTTCCTCAAGATAGCCGGTATAAGTTACATATTTAAAATTCTGAAACGATTATACCTATTATCTTGTCAGCTTATTAAAAATATGTTCTTATAACCAAGTATACTCAATATATTAGAATTTCTAAAGAACACTCAATAGTTGTAACAGTATAAATTAGTATTCTTTTCCACTTTTCTCGTAGGTGATTAAATACTAACACTAAGTCTTTCTAAGAGTTAGTTTATGTAAATTGTACTCCTTGGATCTAAATGTATTAAAACTCTTAATTGTTGGGCAATATAAGACGATCGACTGAGCAAGTGTATATTTAGTAATAGAGACCAATCAATCATAGATATCAACATAACAGGTAAAACTTCACTGATGAGTCCCAAATATCGATTAATTCTAAGAGTTTAACTCATAATAACAGTTTCTATGAATTACAATACGTTTATAAATCTTTAATTATCAGATTATAAACTAATCATCTGTAACACATCATATGGTTTCTCCATCAAATTCATTTTCTCCTTAATATTGAATATTGAACACTGATAACTGTTGAAAGTGTTTATTATCAAAATAAAGATTCAATTTCACCTTTTCAGTAAATGAATACAAACTATGTGCCTATTGTAGCAAACCCATTCAGCTATTGCATTATTTTTCTACTCACTGTAATTCAGACACTTAATTCACTATGTTAATTTCTGAGTGTGTATGATTGAGAGCGTGTCTGCACATGAATTCTTAATCTATTCTCGTATTGGTTGTAACATACAGATAATCAAAAATTTATCCGCACTTGATTAACACTCAAAAATATATATGGATTTTTAACACACACACACACACACTCTTGGTTTCACAGCGTGCTTGCTCGCTGTACTCTTGCGGATTTTATCTTTAACAATAAAATATCTCTACAACTGGCGTTCAGGCTTCTGAATAATCTCGAGTAGATCCATAATCCTACTAAGAGATTTAGCCTGCCTTAAATACTCAGTTAACGGGATATCATTTATTGGAGTCAGATATAGAGGAAATGAGCCCTCTACAATATAAAAACAATTTTATTAATAAAATAAATTAGCTTACCCATGATTATCTCCCCTAAAAGTAAATAAAAAACGAAGAAAAAACCCGGAGATAATAACAATAATAGACGAGATATATATTTAGCTAATTAAAACCAATTTCGAAAGATCGATTATTTTGGAAATGAAATGAATAATATTATTCATTTATTTGGAGTTATAATGAATGATTGAATTACTCAATTATCAACATATATCATAATGAATCGGATGGGGATGCTGACCCCACGCTTGGGACTGACAGTAGCCCTAGAAGAGCTATAGGCGGATGAATAGTAACTGGAAACAACTGAAAAGGATTTCTCAAGAGAATGCTGGTGGGAGGCCTATTCTCCTCCATGAGGGGTAACTGGTGTAAGTAAGTATGGAAGCGTTAGTGTTAAACGTCTCAATTTATAGTGCAAGTGGAGGAAGACTGGATACTACTTATTTATGGTTTGTTTTTTTCTCTAATGAATGACCTTCAAATTAAATTCTAATCAAAATACATAAGCACAAAAATACACGGAGAAACACCATAAGGTGATATAGCTTGACTCCAACTATTAGAAAACTCATCAAACGTAATATAATAGAATGTATTTTTTTATGTTATTTCTAAACTTATACATGAAACACACTCAAATTTATATAAACTTAAGTTTGTACTTATGAAATTCATACTCTTCTCAAGGTATACATTTGAAACCAGAATCTTTCTTTTCACCGAAATACCATTTTTAAAATATGAATTAACGGGTTTCTTTCGTTGATTATGAAATTCCATTGCACGAAAACACGTAACAAGTAACCTTATGAGCCAAGCCGTATGAAATGGTTGTGTCAAAGTAACAACTTTCATGATGTTAGCAATGACTAATCAAACAATCTCAAAATAAATAGTTACTTTCTCTCTTCTTCCAAAAGATTTGTGTCTTGGTCTTAAGAATAGTATACCTTACTTCTTCATTATGAATATTAAATGACAAAAGGGTCTTTCGAACAGAGCTTGACCAATTAAAATGTATGAAACTATTTTGGAGCCTCGGTTTATGTTTTGTGGTAACTAGTCTAACAAAATTTCGATGTCGAATCTATGATATAAAAGAGTTTTACAAATATATTCAGTTTGTATTACAGAAGTGCTAGCTATACGCATCACAGATTCAGGTCAGTATATAGAATACGGTTTGTAAGATCGGTTTATTTGTTATTGATCTATTTTCTCCCACATTTCCGTACCTTTAATTATGTTTTGAAGTCGTTTCTACTTATTTATCTTGAAGTAACAAGTAATTTTATCCTAATAAATATCAAATTGCATCTGAATACACTGTACTGAAAATTCATTAATCTCTTTCATACATGAAGTTTTATTCTCTCTTACGGACGTCTATATTTGACTACCTCAAAAATTACAACAAAATATTTCATTTTCCAGTTTTATCTCTCATCTTTAGTGTTTTATATGCCTAATGTGTATCTTCAAGTCCATGTGATGATCTGTTCAATCTACTTTATCTTTTATTATGAAACTTATAAATCCTAATTACTATACATGTGTATTGTAACAGAATATTTATTTATCACTCTCATTATAAATCTGATCCAATCAAATTTTGATAGAGAAATTGTAATATTTATAAACAAAGATGGATAGTGGCTAGCAGTGGAACTCAGGACGCGCGTTTCATCCTATTTGGGACTCGTCAGCCGGATGTGCCTGCATCCCAGAGTTGATATTCACTCTGGGACTCGAACCCAGTACCGTTCGCTTCAAACACTATCACGTTAGCCACTTAGCTACTGAGTCCTGATATCCACTAGCTTGTGTAACTCCACTTGTTATTGTTTGCTTGAATCTTCTTATTCATGTTTAGGACTTCAATTGATCAGTCTCCTATTGGCATATATGCATGCTGTGCTTCCTAAACATCAATGGGAAGATTTAAGTAAACAATACCAAGTGAATATAATGATATTTATTTCACTATTTTAATAGGCATAATGAATTTAATAATCTAAGGTTATTTACTTCCTAAATTACTATGATTTACCAAATTTCTTTTTTAAAATTACTCTAAAAACCATAATAATCATTAAAATAACATCAAACAGATAATGCCTAGGGAAATAACTTTTTAAATATAAATCTCATATCTTACTCAATTAATGGCGGTGGATCAGGTAGGGGTTTATTGAAATTATCTTTTCCAATTAACCAAAATGAATCAACTAAACCTTTGCCTTTTAATTCAACTTTACCACGTAATTGTAAATGATAACCGCCCAAAATATCCAGAATTGATTTTGTAGTTGGACTAACATGAATACGAAAAGCTTTAGAAAATATATATAAAAATATTTAATTATTATTCTTATATATATAATGATGAATAAGAATTAAGGAAATTATTTCAAAATTAATTAACCAAAGTAGTTCATTCTGTAACGACAGAGTAAAGTGTGAATGGTCGGTAGTTGTATCTGGATCTCCAATTTCGCTTTTATTTAATTGATACATAATTCATAAGCAGTTAGTTTGGTTTAATAAATCATATAAATAATAGTTGAATTCATGAGTCGATTAAAGCTAGACCATCATTGAAAACTTGGAAGGATTGGATGGCCTTTTCGTTCTAGTATGGGACTCCTCAATAGTGTACATCCACGATCCCGCTCGAGGGGTTTGAACCCAGGACATTAGGTCTTGCGCGTGAACGCATTGCTGAGGAGTCTCATACTAGGATGAAGCAGCCTTCTAGTGCTTCCTGGTTTTCCATGGTGGTCTAGCTTTAATTGACTCATGAATTCAATTATTAAATTGCTACAACCTCCACAAAACTACCCTTCTGAAAAAAATTTATATACATATTCATATATTTATTAGTTTAAAGTTTGGTTCGTTATTCGATTGGGGCTAGGAAATCTGTTCCACACTCAAGGGATCAGTTTAATTTACTAAGTTATCATTAGTATTTTTATCAAATCTATTGGGATGTTGTAACATAAAGTTCTATGTAGTTTTTAATTAGTCAATTAATAAAGGAACTCATTGTGTTATGAACGAATAAATGAGGACGATTTAGCCAAGAAAATTATTCTTTCTATGATTTCGTTTATTTAAACTGAACATTCTTCACCACTCTGTTCACTTCCAGCTGAATGTTTTTTATTGTCAGTCTCAAAAGCACTATAATTAGACTAATAATTGACAATTAATATCTTATACAAGTTATATTTAGATAATACTTTCATCATTTGTGGTAAGAATATGGATTTCGATAGTATCCTGAATGAATTAAACAGCTGCTATCAATCAGTTAAGTTTTAAAAATAGTCAACGTCGAACTTAGAATGACACTTCATGAATGTTTTGTTGAAAAAAGAAATTTTATAATTCTCTTCGAAGATCACTAATGTAGGAAGCTAATGTGGAACGCAAATTTTTCGAGTTGGGTTTTATTGAACCAAAAGAAAAATCTTACTCAATCACTCTTCACGAAGGACAAATGAGTCTGTGCTGATGATATGACTGATATCAAACTTGATGAACTACTTCAGGTATCTACTAACAATGGCTATCCACCACGAATTATTGACGAAAGTAGAAAGCCAAATAAATGTAAAGGGTTTTTTTTGACACCGAATTATGCCCTCTTTATGCACATATAATTTAAAGGAGATCTTGCAGTAAAAATTCTGAAAATAAGGGTCTCATGATCTCTGTAAAAAAAATTCTATTCAGCTGAACTTCGTGTTATCTTTTCTAGTCGGTCCTTGATTAGTCGTTGTTTAGAAAAAACGGTCCGCTTTTGGACAAACTAATATGCACCCGTCAAATTACCTGCTTATATGGAACAGGTTATATTAGCCACGTAAAGCGAGCTCATTCGAAACACATCTACAAACGTTACTCTCCCTGGCTGTCTAAGTAACTATACAAGTCAGTCAAAAGTTAAATCATAGGATATCTTGTTAATGCGGGTCAAACTGATTCATCAGAATCCTCCTTCAAAATCATCTTTACAGTTAGGCGAATCGATTCAAAGAGAATACAAATTAAAAACGTATATATAGCGGAGGCTCTAGATTTCTATCTATTCAAGCCTAAGTTTTGTGTACAAAAACAGAATGTTCAGTATCTCATTCTGTCGCTATCTCAACCTTCCATTCTTAATAATTCAATGTTTTTTTACCCCTTTCCACATTGTATCAACTATTAGCTTAACATCATAACACTGATTAATTACTCTATACTTCCTGTTTATCAAGTAGAGAACTATCACTCATCCGTAAATCATTTTCACCAACCACAAGATTTTTACATAATCTCTGTTCAATATTTCATTTTCCGTAAAAGTTTATGATATAGAAGTTTTATTTTTAAATTACACAAAATGTCTTTCTTTATTTACAATCTGATATTTAAAACTTGTTTATGGCTGACAATTTTTCTCCTTCCAAATGATACAATATCACTCTATTTTAGCTTATGTTATTAGTTTAAGTTAAGCTAGTCAACTGTAATTGTACAGAACAAGCTGTGTGGAGAAATTCGAACACTTCATTTCTATCTGAAATTTGTGCTGATGATATCGTTCAGAAGAACGATAAAAGCTTCACGACCAATTCATCCAGCTTATAGAACAAAACTCTATCAAAATCATCCACCTGAGCTACAAATCTTCTCCACCGTCTCAAGAGAAAACTAGGATATTTATTTCTAGATAGAGAATTAAAGGTTACTATTTGAATTTTATACACTAACTGTTTTGTATTACCAATAAATCTCTGAGTAAGTTACTTCTATGAATTTTGTAATAGTTAAACTGATAAACTAATGTTTGTGATTATGTAGTTCACCTTAATGAAGAGAAAACTGATGGGATCTTAGGTACGTACATATATTACAACGTAATTTTCAAAGGTTTATTTTATTTAGCTACATAAACGACTTCTAGATGGTCAAAATTCAAAAGCATGTGTTTCGAGTTTGATAACGTCATTGAGATCAAGCACCGATTTGAGTTGGACAACTATTGAAAAGCTGGTAGTACAATACGGCCACTTCATCCTAGTTTGGTACACGTAACCGGTGCACATAAACAACCTTGCCACTGAGGATCGAACCCTTGACTATCAGTCCCACGAGTGGTCTCCATTGATCACTGCTTCTCACTAGAATTCCATAAATTTTTTGTTGTCGCTAGTCATCAGTGAGCACATGATGATTATCAGTATGGGAGTTGTGAAGATCATTGGATGTTATTAAGACCACTAAATCATCTAAGTTAGACAACTATTGAAAACCTGAATGATTCTATTGAACAGATTCAAAAATAGATATCAATTGTTCTAATGAAGTATTAAGAATTATGAATTAAGGAATAATTTAAGTAAACGGTATCTTATAGTTAAACTGCACTAAATTTGGGTATGCTTCCGGGTTTTCCATGGTGGTTTGGATTTAATCGACTCATGAATTCAACTATCATTTATTATTAATAAGATGTTTATTAGTGATCAAAAACTGACTTTTAGTCAAATGTGATATTAGCCATGAATCATAATTTAGGATAAAAATTTACTACATAAAACAGCATTAATAATTTTCTGCATCTGTGAATGTAATGTAGTTTTTCTAGTGGCATTTAATCTACCACACGTTTTATAACCTGTCTTCGTTTACTTCTTATTGTCAACCTGACAATCAATAAAGACGATTATTGATATGAGTTTTCTAGACTTTTCTAGTGTATAACCAGATATTACATAATATTATTCTGTCTTTGGAACAGTTTTCAACAGTAAACACTTAAAACGAAAACTAAAAACAACAAGAAAGTTAAAGTTTCTTAATTTTGTCACAAAATTGATACATCAACTGATATTTAAAAAAGATATCGGAATAGTTGTGTCAAAAGTTACCAGATCCTGTTGATTCCATTCTAGATGCAGTGTTCACTGTATCTCCAAACAAACAATATCGTGGCATTGTTAATCCAACTACACCAGCAACACATGATCCTAAAGTCAAAAATTCACAAATGAATTATGCTTTTTAATAAAATATTAAATCTCTAAGATACTCATCATGATGTTTGTAAGATAATTAAAGGAATTTCATAAGATGAGTATAGTTTAGTTTTGTTAGAATACTCGATGAATAAATTTCATTTCAGTCAAATGATTTAATTGCCATGAGGAAATTCAACTGACACTTTACTCACAACTGTTTCAAGGAGGACTAATCAAACATTTGACTTTCTATTTTCAAACTTTACATCTATTAAAGTTCATTACTGTAAACTTATTTTAATGAAATAATCATGTATGTATAAAGCGCTAAAATGAATCCGGAGGCTTTTCTAAAGTGATCGGAATGTGCTATGCTTTCAGGTACTATAAGGTAAATATGGAAGAACTCGAATGGTTATCATGTTTTCATTCTAAAATATTCTTTTGTGTAACTAGAGCAGCATAAATTGAGAATATACAGCAAAGCGATGGTTGAACGCTTTCAGCGTTGATGATAAATAAACACTATGAGAAGATATTTTAATGCATATTTTTCATAAATACGAATGAGATATATGTCTAAAAGGAATTTATAAAAGTAATGAATATTTAATTCTAGGAATTCTTTGCTATAACCAAACTTGGGATATTTAATAAAGCGGTTATTATTACTAGAGACTAATCACAGCCTGTGAAAAACCTATGGTATAAAACAAAGATAATTTCCTCCATTTCGATCAATACTACTGTTTGATGTATTAAAATAGAATAAAATTATGATTGATAGTCTCATTTTTGAAAACATTGAAAGTTTATAAGTAAAGAGATACAAGATCAAAAAGTGATCAGTATTTGAAGTAGAATACAGCCGACTGAGTCTTGCGGTTATTAACATAAGTAGTAATGAGGAGATTTACCTCTAGTCAGAAAGTATCATGTCAGTCAGTTATAACGTAGCACCCGGCACATATATGCATCATTTCAAGTTGCCACACCTCATTAGGACAACAAGATGAACACCGAATTCATAGAAGTAGTTACCTCAATGGTAGTAATATATGAAACAAAGATTTTTTATAAGAATATAACACAGAGAGAAATAATAAGTTGGTAGAAAGAAAGATATAAAGTAATTTTAATCTCATGGTTTAAGGGAAGACAAAGAGTGTTGGCGAAAGGCAAACGAGCCTTTTGAATCCGTGCAGAGATTTCGTCAGACACCAACCCATTATGGCTGATCAGGTTTCCAAGATAAGTTGTCGACGCATTTAGAGGTCTCAATGTCAGATGACAGTTCGCCATAAGCTGTGACTCGACTG